CCCAAAACCCCAAAACCCCAAAACCCCAAAACCCCAAAACCCCATGGATAAAAATTTAATCAAAATTTAGTAAAATTTAAAGCGATTAATTTTGATTAGAATGTAAATCATTAAAATAAAAACTATAAATGAGTGAAAAAGTGAGAGCACACTTATACCAGTACTTGGTCACTATTGCTAGTTCAAAATCCAAGCTTGACTACGAAGATTGCTTTGTTTTGGGTCTTATAATGGCCAAATTCAATAAAAATGCAGAAACTCTAAATGAGGTAGGTATTGCTTAGGTGATTTATCAAATTTTGACCGCAAATATTGTAGTTGGTGATTTAAATGCATGAACAAAAAAAGAAACTAAGAGGGACTTTTGTTAAGGAAGATTAGAAATTTGAGTACAGATTAAATGTGTACCTCTAGAATACATAATAAGATAAAATATCCCATAATTCCTCTCAAAGCAGTGAGACATACCAGCTCCAAAGCAAAAAAAGAAAGCTAAATGAGCTAAATGAGAATTAGTCAAAACCTGAGTAGCATGATCAATACATCAATCTTCCAATAAAACCCCTCATCAATCTGCCTTTTCAAAATAAAGCAATGTAATTGAAAGTCTCAGATGCTGATATCGTAATTGAGGAAGAAGATGATGATGATGTACCAAATTTTGGAATAAATGCTAATCATAATGGAACAGGCGACTCCTACTCCCAGGACAATGGTAACAACAAATACAAATTCAGAGGTCATTATGGTAATAACTAACATAATAGAAACTCTAATAATAATGGCGGTGGTGCTAGTGGCTTAGGATTCATCTCAGATTCAGATAATCTAGAAAAGATATCTGATTTAAATAGAGCCATTGAGTCCTTAGATAATACTCAATTCAGGAATAGTATCAAGGCCGGGTCAGGGAATTCTGATCAGAACGAGCTGTCCTAAGAGTTACCAGTCAACAAATATAATCACCACTAACCCTCATCTTTTACCCCTGAAAAGGCTAAAAGATATGAAAACGATATTAGAATGAGAGATGGAGTTAATGATCATGATATTGAATTCGAAGATGAAGATGATGAAGTGCTTGAGGATTAAGATATTCTAGATGCTCACATAAAAAGTGAAGAGTTAAAACTTAGCAAAGAGTTCACTTTCAATTAAGACAGACTCACTTCACAATAGTAGCATAATTAATAACCGTAAGGGTCAAAAGATGCTGATAAAAAGATTATAGTAAAGTAGCAGTAGAATTAATTGTTAGATATGTCTTATGCGGATGAGGAGGATGAGTTTCTGGATCTACTTAATGAGGAAAAATTCTTTGAAAATAAAATGGCTGAGCAAGAAAAGCGAGATTAGGAATTAGCCAGGTAAATGTAAAGAGAACTTGATCAGGAATAAGAGATTCAACAAAATAAGGAATAAATAAATAAGCAGAATATAGTTAACCAAAAACCCAATAGAATTGGCACTTCATCCTAGGATTCAGAGACTCAACGCCTTATAAAGCAGCTACAGAAGGAAGATGACGAGGCAAAGCGCAACGAAAGATAAAATATAGATCAGGAGGATAATAATTTAACTTGTGCTGTATGTCTTGATGATATAGTCGATGATAACATTCTACCACTGACCAGTTGCGATCATTTTTACCATAAAGAATGTCTAGAATCATACTTCAGAGTTGAGATTCAAGACAGAAGATTCCCCATTAAATGTCCTTAAGATAATTGTGGGAAAGAGATAGAAATTATGGATATTCAGGATGTGCTTGCTGAAGATGATTTGAAGAAATTTGATGAGTACAACTTCAGCAAGATTGTAGATCAATAAGAAGATTTATCTTGGTGTCCAACACCTGATTGTGGCTATGCCTTCTTCTTTGAGGAAGGAAATTATGAGCATGATTGTCCAAAATGTGGAATATCATATTGCTTAAATTGTAGAGTGGTGTTTCATAAAAAGCTGACCTGCGAAAAATATTAAACGTAAACTAAAAATAAGGATTAAGAGAGATTAAACGAAGAAAAGTTTATGCAATTTGTTAAAGGAGCCAAATTCAAGCAATGCCCAAAATGCAAATTCTGGGTAGAAAAAAACGATGGCTGTGACCATATGACTTGTAGATGTAAAAAGCAATTCTGCTATAAATGCGGAGGTAATTACCCTAAGTGCGAGTGCTGTAAGTTTATGCTTTATTTGATCATTAAATTTAGATGTTAAGCAGATGGAACTTAATCGTAAGAGGTAAGAATTGTTGGAAAAAAGAAGATAGGCAGCAGCTAGAAGAAAAAAAGAAAGTAAATCTAAAACTAAGCCAAATAACAGGGGAAGAAGCCGAGGTGGAAGAAGATGAAATTATAAGTCGAATTTAATAATTTATTTTTTTGCAATTCCTATTTTAAATTACTGATTCTCAATATATACTAAGTCGAGGGGTTTTGGGGTTTTGGGG